AGATCATTGTACAGGCGGAGGAAGCAGAGCTTCCAAGAAACACAGCTGTGGTGAAGTAATGCATTCCAGATGTCAGCCTGCGAGAAGCTGGGGTTTATGAAGGAAGCTCAGCCTGCAGGGTGGAATTCAAGATGAACTCTGCTCTGTTTCTTCCCACTGATTTCATTTTTTTCTGCTGGAAAAATACAAGTTCCGGAGCGCTGCACTTCTGAGTGGCGTCTGTGGGCGCTGGGTCCGCCCCTCCAGTCTGCCTTGGTAAGCAATCTGCCTGGGTGATTCCCAGGCCCCTGGGCTTCTCCTTCCAACCTCTTCAGGGACAGACGCTCCTGGCATTGTCCCTCTGTGGGCCTGCCAATTACCCCGGCACTCCGAGTGTGGGAGCTAACGCCCTCTGGGAATTCCTGGGGCCCTTTAGGGGAAGATTTTGTTCTCATCAAGGGAAAAACGATTGAGAGGGAAGAAGAGAAGAAAGATGGACTGCGGGAAAGGGGAAAGGAGGAGGAGCATGCAGAGTGGGGTGCTGGCTGCACAGTGGGGACATCACCATGACCCTCTGGGACACTAGGGTGTCTCCCCATACGACAGTCAGGATGTGTCTGACCCTTGAGCTGTGGAAGAGACTGCTAACGCATGGAAAATACTCTTCTCAGCGCAGCCTCTGGGGCCAGGCTGCCTGGGTCCCCTTTCAAGCTCTACAGTTGTTAAGCAGGTGATCTTGGAGATTTTTCCTGACCTTTCTGTGTCTCAGTTTCCTCCTGTATATGTGGAAACATTAGGGGTACATACTTCAAGGTAAATAGAAATGATTAATAGCTATAATGCATTTAGGACAGCACCTGATAAACTGTCAATAAAGGTTAACTATTATCCAGGTGATTTTTTTTCTAGAACTTCCAAGGGGATTTACTTTCTTAAGCCTGCATCCTTCATGGAGGCCTGTTGGAAATGAGAACAAAATTGTCAGCTCAAAGGACTTTTCTCATTTTAAAAATAGACAGAAAATAGTAATGAAACTCCTAACTGGAGGCCTTCTCCATCCTGGCATCTATCTTGCCCTGTGAGCTTCAAGAGTAATTGTTCCTCTGCTCTCCCTTTAGTTGAAATCGGTACCAGTGCCCCTGCGCTCTCTTCCTGCTGAGAGTCAGACTGGCTCTGGGGCACAGAAAAGCTGTGGCAGCCTCAGAGGAGCTTGGGGGAACCTGGGAATGAGGCTATGGGCCTCATTCTCTCCAATATGCATAAGAGGAACTTGGCAAATGTTTATTAAATATGTGGATAAAAGGAAACCTACTAAAGTTGCTGCAATTTCAGAAATAAGGCCTCTAAAGGAAGATTGTAGGTAGGAATCTGGCTTACCCAAAAGGAAGAAATAACTGAGGAAAATCTTTTCAGTCAAGTGCTTAGTCTCCTCATTACCCTCCTTGAAAGTAAAACTATGTGGTGTGTAAGACACGGAGTAGGTGATCAGTAAGTATTTGCTGAGTAAAGGAAAGGACTCAGGGACAGAAGAAAAGCTCTTAATACAGACTAAAGAAGGATATGAGTCCAGGGATGGTGATTACACCATGAACTATGTTATAGGGATTTGAAAGATAAAGCAGGTTGTGGCTCTACTACAAGAGCTGATTACTTTCAAATTTTCAGTGATGGAAAATCCTTCAAATTTTGTTTGTTCAACCACTATTTTATGACCAAGGAAATCCACCCCTAGTGTTACTCCCCTGAGCCCCCTCCTTATCAGGAGCCTGCAAAGATTGGCTGTGGCTGGTCACCCAGAGATGGTTTTTCACCAGTGTGTCCCTTTGCTTTTTCATGACTGCCATCCTCTTTCCTGTCCCAACACATGACATCCTTACTTCTCCACTGCACTCTGTCAGCAACCTCTTTCTTTAGGTTGTGGTAGCTGGGAATAACTAGAGTCATGCCCTTCGCAGGGTCATGGACAATGATTTATAATCTCTATAAGCTTTGAGCCTTCTTCCTATCTGGAAATAGAAAGTGTCGTCTCCATATGTTTTGTTGGATTTCTGTGCGTTGCTTCTCTTTTTTGCAGTAAGGGCTTTCCTAACATCAGACACTACCGATCCTGCTTTGTATATACGTCACCTGGCAAACACAGCCATTGCCAGAACAATCTTTTTAATTCTGAAGGCTTTGGATCTCCTGCTCTGTACGCCCAAATACCTCCAACTGATCTTCTGTAAGGTGTGTACATGTGCTCCAGATCATGTACAAGTGTGTGTGTGTGTGTGTGTGTGTGTGTGTGTGTGTGTGTGTGTGTACATTTGGGGAAGGAGGAGGGAAAGGATGCTTTGGGGAAGACTTTAAAGACCCACAGCATGTTACAGCTGGAAGCTACCTTAAACATAACTTAGTTTGGGGATTTTTCATCAGCCTTTAGGGAAATCTCAGTTTGCAGAGGCCTCTCAAGAAGCTGCAGTAGCAGGACAGGGCTTCGAAGGAAAGGTGTGTGGTGGGGACTTGCATTCTTTCCAAGCTGCTAGAAATTCCGGTGTATCTATTTTTTGAATTGGTCCCACATTTTATATTATGTTAGTCAATAGAGGTGGAGTAACTTGTTAACTGGGTCTCATTTTACCTTGGTCACTGCTTGATAGTCCTTAGACATCTTGATTCCTTGTTCACAATGATTTTTCATGACCTATTTTGTTTTGCTAATTCTCCATCTACATTTACCACTCCAACAATCTTTTTGTCCTCCCTAGCTGCTATATTTTTCCAGAAAGAATTGGGGCCTCTGGAGTGTGTGTTCTGGAAGCCTCTCTTTTCTTCTCTCTGTGTTCAGTTTTTCTTTTCCTTTAGTCTCTCTGTCTCTCTGTCTCTCTCTCTCTCTGTCTCTCTTTCTCTGTCTCTCT